GTCGAGTGTTGCTTAGTTTTAAAGCTGTCTGTGCTATTTTTTTTTTACTTTATTAGTTGCTTCGTTTAGGCTTTTGTCTAATGACAACAAGTGGGAGTCCAAGATTTTTGAACGGAAGGTATTATTTTTAATGAACTTCAATATAAGTTTACTGTTGTACCAGCCTTTTGTAAAACATTTTTATCATATTGTATTTTGAGCTTTTTAATAGTTTATTGCAAAAATTTATATTTCTTTTATAAGTAGCAGAAAGTATTAGATTATCAGGAGAAATTTTAGATTTTAAATAAGTTTTGTCTATATTTCTTATACAGCGGACGAGACAAGGTGGAATCCAAGATTTAATATTGTATGTAATACTTACGTAACAGTTTTTTGTTGATGTTAATACATTAATGATTCTTTATTGCGTATTTTGAAGAATTTATAAAGTAACTCAAAGACGTAATTGCAGAATCAGAGCGATAAACAAAGTCAAAATTAATGCTACGAATGTCATTTTCAAGGTTCGTCATATGGACTTTAGTGTAGCTGCGTAAGCAGTTTTTTATATGTGTTAAATTTGTTTAAGGTAATATCAAGGGACTCTAGAAATCTATCAATATTTTGTGAAGGTCTGTAAATTGCAATAACAATCATCTTAGAATTAGTTCGAATGATTAAGCAATTACTATCCTGGAATGTAGGTTCTGTGACAGTTACTTTTAAATTGTTTTAACATAGATTACTAAACCGTCACTTTGATTAATGATTTTCTCGGTTTTGTATAAAGAATAGCCATCTAGAAACCGTAGGTGGGGTAGAAGGTTTGACAGTACAAACACAATTACTCTCTACCAAGAGAAGAACGCCAGCTTCATACTAAAAAACGGAAACACGTGTTTATGAGTGTACACTAAAAGCGCTATGGTGGACCCCCATTTTTTAGCGGGAATTTCAAACCTTTGTATTCTGTAACTTTAAACTTTTTATTTAAGGCATATTCGAGTAATTTTGGTTGAAGCCTTACAAACCTATGAGGGAAATTCCCATAAACTCGTATTTGAGAGGTTGCACCAAAATTACTCGAATACACTTTAGATTAGTATGTGGGATAAAATAAAACTATAAATAAGTATAATTAAGTAATTTTATTTTCTGGAAAACCGATTGTTTTATAAACTATACATTATTATTGATGTTTTTTATTGCGTTTGTATATAATATTTCCACGCTTCTTACTGATATATTGTCAGAGAGTTATTATTCACAGAACATTAACGTAAATTTCAATCAGCAAAATTCTCATGATGAAAACTTAACTCAGCCCAAATACGTGATCTGAAACAGATACAATTCAAGTCCATATAGTAATAATCCCTACAAATAACGGCCAATAAATTCAAAATGTTTATAGACTTACCACAATATTGTCATAAGTTTTTCTTTTCCTATCATAGGAAACCTGCAGACAGTGGTCATATGATTTTGTGCCTTTTTTTGCACAACACTTAACTTACTTTCGATGATGATCACAAATCGTGGATAAAACTTTGAAATAATGAATTCATTTATATTCAATATCTTATACAGAGTTAACATCTTACAAAAAATCTTTACTGTATATTCACGACGATATTATGACTGTGTATTCACCTACATATGAAAATGAAGTCCAAAATAACTGAATTTAAGCAAAAGTCAATAATAAATATTAAAAACTAAACCTATGAACTAAATTTTAATAAATTTCAGAAAATATCTTCAATGTGAAAGACGTTGACAAACAAATGTCATTTTTTTTCTTTTTCTAATAATTCATGGCTTATTTTGATAGAATTCTGCTAATATTAAAATAATTTAATTTAAATGAGTTAATAGGTAAATTAATTGTGCAAATCTCAGAGTGGTATGTATGTAATTATACTTTAAAGAGCAAACCAAAAAAAGCTTAACAGATAATTAACATTTTTTATCTAATTGTGAATGAGAATTTGTGTATCTAATTTTTTAAATGGCAATCTAAAACAACATGAAGGAAAGAAACAGCAATATTTTTTCTCGCTTTATTTTTACAAGCCCAACACAAACATTGACAAAATCATGGTTGTGTGCAGATTTTCAGCTTTCATACAAAGTTAGATCAGCCTGTTTGACAGCCAAAATTTTGTAAGGACAATAATATCACATTTTATATCCAGTCTATGCAAAAAAACTTCAAACTCCGTTATGTTCCGATTTATGTTTCTAATGTTTTGTGTAAGTAAAATTAACTTATTTTCAGGACGAGGAAGGAAGTGTTTACAGTCTTCAACATTACATGTTTTAGCGTCAGAGACAGAATAGTTGTCTAGGCCATTGAGTAATTGATTCGTCCTAATAAAGCTTAAAGATAAACTAGAACTAGTGTTTAAAAGCTAAGTAAATAAAATAATACGCGGCGGTCTTAGGCGTCCTCATAGTCTAACGTAAAACGATGTTAGTAATAACAGAAACAGACTTTAATAAATTGTCCTATATGTATATGTAGGCGAATCAAATGCCTCCAGATAGGATCACAATATGTTCAGCAATCACCCTCAGGTAGCCGTTAGGATTGTCTCTCACTCTACGCATCAACTTGTGAATCTGCAAACATCGCTGACGCACTACAATAGCGAGGTAGCTCCATCAACATTGTAGTACTGAACTCTCAAAGCGTTCACAACCCGCTGTGTACAATTCATCGCCACCGCCGCAAAGGGGCGAACTTCATACATACGGTCAAATATTAGTTTAATATACAAAATTGCCCCTTTGTTTTAGATCTATGTCGTCTTAATCGGGTTAAGCTCTAAGTAAAAAAATAACGAATTTTAAGTGACGGCGTATGCCAAAAACACTTCGTGTGAGATTTTATGATAAGGCGAAGCTCGTAGATCGCCTTTGTGCGGTGTTTTTATTTTATTTTAATATTAAAATGTACAATTTTGTTAAAATTATAATAGATTAAGAGTAATTAAACTTTAAAATCGCAAAAGTATTCATACATAATATGGAAAGAAACTTTCCTCAAGGGACATTACTTTTGTAAGTTTATTAATATTAGATTGGATATTAAGACAAAGATTGTTATGACTGTTACTGATCTCGTATATGTTGGTATAGTACCATAATGGTATCAGATTTAAATTGTGATCTTAGTATATACTCTACGATAAGACATTTTTTTAAATTTTCTTAGGCTGCCCTTGATACCATTATGATTCGTTTTATTCATTTTCTATATATTATGTATAAAAGTAACTCCTTCTGTTTCTTTATTACTTACCGTTTCATGAACAAGGGTGTAACTCGTAGATAAAAGGCGAGCCTGGGCACAACAAGACGCAACGATAAGGCGCATCTTTTTCAGAGCTTTTTTAGTAGTAATTTCAGGACTGTAATACATTAAAGATGTATTCATCGTCTAGTTCTATTATCATATAATACTGTTCTATTAGTAGTTTTCCATTAAATCTAATAGTTTTAATTTTCTAAAGAAAAAAATCTACTAATCGGGGGGGAAAAAACGTTTTCTTGCTTTCCTGACGTTTTTTGAAAATTGAGGTTCGCCCCTTTGCGGCGGTGGCGACGAATTGGCCCAGAGGCAGCAGATATAAAATATAGTTCGAAGAACCGACAAATTATGGGAAATAAAGGTTCTCGAGTGGCAGCTTCCTACCGGTAGGCGAAGTGTTAGTAGGCACACAGACCACCAGATGGTAAGTGGGTGACCCATAGACATCTACATCTATCTTTGCATAATAACCAAAATACAGATGCGTCGTCATCCCTCAGGACTAAGATAGAATGCCTCAGTAAAAAGAGTCTGTACCCTCACTATACGAAACACAGAATACAACATGGCTCTACCACCTAAATGACATGCAGGAAGTCGATGGATGCACGAGGACCGTGTTTATTGGTATTCCTTGGGGGAGACCTATGTTCTGCAGTAGACTTGTGAATTGTTGTGATGATGATGATAATGTATGTACATGTGCATATAGTTAAAAGTGTTTCGGTAAGGATATAAATATTAGTTTAAGCAGGAATTTGACCGCCGGCGTTTAAACATAATTTAAATATGTAAAAGTCTTGCTTTTAGGTGTACTAAACTATTAGTGGAAACGACGTAAAAAGTGCTTAGTTGGTGATATTAAATATCAGGTTTTTTATTCGTAATGGCCTTGAGATATTATATATTCCACAACTATCAAACAACGCCATCTAGTCCCAAGCTAAGCAGAGCTTGTGTTATGGGTACTAGACAACTGATAAACATATTTATATATTTCTAAATACATAAATATTATAGATAAATTACACCAAGACACAGAACAAATGATCGTGCTCATCACACAAACATTTGTCCTGGGTGGGAATCGAACCCACGACCTCCGGCGTAGCAGTCATGGTCACTAACCACTAGACCAACAGGCATTATCAGCATAAGCAGTCCACTTTATTAACCCTCTACCGCATACAAACCCATATATGGTTCGCCACATTCAATAATTTTCTTTCGCGTATTTGTGCATGAGCAATATCTAAACGCATCTTTTACATTATCTTTAGTGTGTTGGCAACACGAAAACATTTTTGTTGTCTCTGGTCTAACGACAATTTGGTTATAACTTCACTTTTCTAACATAGATAAATATATATGTAGCAAGCTGTTTTCTAAACGCGAGTGTGAAGTTGAACACAGTGACAGTAAACTCCTTTTTAAAAATAGAAATTCTACATGAAGCAGGTAAGTTTCATTTCATAAAATATTAAAATATAGTGCTGTAATTATTCAATTTTAAGTATAATTTATTTGTTTGTTACTTTTTACGAATTTGTATCATATTGGGAGGCTTTTTCTATGAAACCATATATGGGTTCGTATGCATTCTAACCTAATCTAATTATTTACGAGGGAACCAGATATGGTTTCGTATGCGCTTTCGAATATTTTGTTTGATAGGCATGTAATTGTGTTTTCTGGTTGCAGAATGGATCCTGCTCGCTTTTATGGCTCCTATAAGCACGTTAATCCTATACCTGGTGAAGGCTTATTAAGTGATGATGAATTAGCTTCCGACTCTGATAGTGAATATGTTCCTCCTAGACAATTTCAACGTCACAGAAGATCTCTTCTTATCCCCGAAACAGATAGTGAGTCCTGTGATGACGAATCTAACCCTCCATCGGCCACACAGAAAATAGTGAAGTCAAAAAAGAATAAGCCCACTAAAATCAAGTGGGAATTAAAAAACTTAGAAGCTTTTGATGTAAATAATTTCAAATTTACAGGAGTCACACAGTTACCAGAGTTTATTGAAAAGCTTGAAACACCATCAGATTTTTTTCTATTTTTATTTTCTGAAGATCTTTTACAAAATATAACTCATCAATCCAATTTAAAATCTGTTCAAGACAATGTTATTAAGCCTGCTAACATAAGTAAACAGGAAATAGAACAATTTATTGGCATGGTAATTTTTATGTCTATAGTGAAATTACCTGCATCACGGCATTACTGGAACAAGACTATAGGACAGACACAAATTTACGAAACTATGGCCTGTAATAGATTTGAAACGATTAAAAAAAATTTACATTTCAATGACAACGATAATTTTATCCCGTTTGGCAATCCAGGTCATGACAAGCTATTCAAAGTACGTCCCCTTCTAAATGGCATTAGGCAGCAACTTTTATTAGTACCAAAAGAGGAATATCTAGCAGTCGATGAGCAGATCATCCCAACAAAAGTTCGACATGACCTGAAACAATATAACCCTGCAAAGCCTCATAAATGGGGATATAAAAATCAAGTTCTTAGTGGAGTTTCAGGATTCAGTTATGAGTTTGACATTTTTGCTGGTGAGCAAAGTAATACACGTCCTGAAGGCGCACCGGACTTGGGTGTTAGCGGCAATGTTGTGACTCGTCTCACCGAAACTGTACCAAGACATGTAAATCATAAGATCTTCTTTGACAATTGGTACAATAGTCCTAAACAGATATACCTTACAAAGATCGGATTTTTACCTTTAGGTACAGTGCGTCTGAACAGAGTTCCTAATATAGATATGCCACTGGAAAGGGAACTAAAAAAGCAAGAACGTGGATTTATGATCGAAAAAGTTGCTACCATTGATGGAGTTTGTGTAAGTGTCGTTACTTGGTTTGACAATAAACCAGTTCATATGCTTTCGACCTATGTAGGTTGTTATCCAACGACTACAAAACGAAGATACTTTAGAAAGAAAAAACAATACAAAAACATTAACTGTCCTCAAGCTATTGAAGTATATAACCAGCACATGGGGGGCGTTGATTTACTGGACTCTATGCTGGGTCTGTTAGAATTCACTTGAGATCCAAAAAATGGTACAAGCGAATATTTTTTCATAAGGTGGACATGTGTATTGTAAATGCTTGGATTCTTTGGCGCAGGAACAACTCGGGCACTTACATGTCTCTATTTGATTTTAAGCAAGCTATTTCAGAACACTTACGCAAATCTGGTAAAACTATAATGGCACGAAAAAGAGGGCGTCCTGTATATCACAGTAGAGATGGAACGCCGATAAGTATTACCAGCCACGGAAGTCCTGCTCCATCCAATCCAGAAACACCAACTCATCCCAAAAAAAAGAGGAAAGTTCCTGCCAGACATCAGAATCTGCCATTGGACTCTGTGAGAAGCGATAAAATAGACCATATGCCTGAATGGCAAAAAACCCGACAAAAATGTCAAGTTTGTGGCCAAAAAACTTACACGAAGTGTAGAAAATGTATGGTTTTCTTGTGTTACAACGACAAGCGAAACTGTTTATCGACATTTCATGATTGACATAAATGTGATTCCTTATATTGTTACTAAAAACTAAAAGTTCTATTTCTTTCTTTATTTCATACGAAACCTTATATGTCTGTAGTAATTTGGATTAAAATTTGTTTGGATGCATACGAAAACATATATGGATCAATTTTTTTTTTCAGTTCCTATAAGTGCTTTTTTTTATTTCGTTTTTGTTATAAATTTTGTCCTTAAATAGAGCCTAAATAACCATCAAATATTTTTTAAATCATTTCCTTCATAATTCATGCAGTAGAGGGTTAAGTTGTCCTCAAGAACTATACAATGTGACATAACCATCATCAGCATATCGTAATGTTTTATAAACAAAATACAAATAAATTAAGGCTGTATGGTCTGAAACCTTTGCCTGGTAAAAATGGTGAATTGCAACCAAAGAGAATGTAATACGTCAAATTTTATTTATCTATGGTCAAATTTGACGTCGTCAAATTTAAAAACACTTTTTATGTACAAAATGCTAAATGAATTCAATTTGTTAATTAAATGGTCATAATTTCATACGTTTACTTGTTTATTAAACAAATATTTATAATGTGGAAGAAATTACAAGACAATCCTCCATTTTACTTACAATTTTCTAAGTCTGATGGTTATGAAATATTAGTCACTGATTATATTACATTATATTTGGTTTACTTATCGGAAAATGAATTTCTTTCGATTTTAAAGGTAATAAGTAAAATGCCATTCGAACAATTAGTATCATTCACGAGTTTTTTTAGCTTTAGCTATATAATACCATTCGTAAAAATTATATTTTCATTATTTACAAAAATAACGAATAATTCAGTAGTATTTTTTTTTATAATAGAAAAGCAATCCTGCGTTAGAAATGGTAAACGATGAGTTAATAGAAAAAGGAAATAGTTTACTGTTAAACATAGAAAATCTAAAAAGTTTGAGTATTAATAAAGAAGAGTCGAATTTAAATGTTTCAATGAGCAAATCCTATGTCTATCCATTTAAATTTATAATCACACTGAAGGAAGTAACTAAAGAAATTGTAAGTAATGAATAATGACACTTATTTTATTTTTATATGAAGCGATCTATTAGGCAGGCTCATATGGCCAGCTTTTAAGAGGCAGTAATGATGAGTTTGTTAGTTCTAGGGTAAACTTACACAGGTGGACTTCAGATGTCTTCAATTTTTTTTCTCAGAAATGCAGGTTTCCTCTAGATAATTAACTTCATTGCCAAGCAAATTCAAAAAACAATTTCATTAGTATCAGTAAGGCTACTTTCATACTGTGAAATTTACAGTGAGCACTGAGCTACCCCAGCTTATGCAAATGATTTAATAAACTTGATCAGATGAAAACTTACTCTGTTATGTAAAAAAAAAAACTTTAAAGTTCTATAGAATTTGTAATGAGTTGTTATATTATATTAATATTAATTTTATACATATACACAAAATTAAGTATTTCTTATTATTGTTGTTTCATTAATAACTATAAAGGCATGACTGCGACAATGTTTACTTTAAATATAAAAAATTATATCCCTCAAATATGCTGATCCTCTTTAATGTGATTGGTTCTTTGTAGTTCTTTCAGAAAGTTACTCAGCCACTACTCAAAACCATAAAAGAACTTCAGAGTATAGAATTAGAACTACGACAAGCAATAAAGGAAAAGGATGCTGAAATAGAAAAATATAAAGAAGAAGGAAATAAAATAAGAAGTATGAATGTCCAGTCTAGTTTTCAATATTACATTACCTTCTATTTATCTATTACTACTTTTAGTATAACTAAATTATATATTTGTGTCTAAGGTCAACATAACATTATAAACTGAATTAAATGAGATGTTACAAATTAAAAAAAATTCAAATGTTTGTAATGTTTACATGTTGAGTTCACTAGTTTATTCTATTAATCTTGAATGATGCAAATGGGAAGTTTAGTTACTTAATTCCCATTGCCAAAGTACAAAAATTTATTCTCTTATTTCTTTAAACACTACAATACTAATTATTAATTAAAAGTAAAATATATACCTGCAACATTTTCTCATTTATAACGTTTATTTGTAGAACATTGGAGAACAATGCCCTTTAATGAAGAGGAACATTTAAAAAAGCATCAGGCTTACCAGGGTAATTTTGTATTACCTCAGGAATTTCCTTCTAGTTTATTGGAGGAAAAGAAAGAAATAACAAATGGTTCCAAAGTGTAAGTAATTAGAATTGGTTATCAACCTATAGGATAAGTTTGCCATTTATTTATAATGTTCCTTTTAATTTCACTTTATTTACATACCATAATTTTTACTCATTATAATCTTAATAAAAGGATTTCTTTTATGTGGATTATTTCAGTCGAGTGCTTTGGTCAGTCATAGCAATCAACAGAAAACATTATTGTTATAATATCCCAAAAAATAAATATTCACATATTTTATTTGCAGAAAACATGAGGCAAAAGTTGAAGATGACCATATCAAACAAGAACCTATGACACCATCATTAGAAGAGCCCAAGATATCATCTCCTGCTTCACCTAAGACAGAAATCAAACAAGAAATTAAAAGTGAGACTCAACTCAGTTCTATAAGCCAAACACGAAAGCGAAAAAAGAACCTAAATTTATAACACAAAGTAAAATGGGGTTGAAATTTTTCATTTGTCACCATGACCGAGTGAGCTGCACTTCCAATTTCCTTTGTATAAACTAAAATGTAATTTAAGTTGTATGATATTATAGTCAGTGTCAAAAGGAAGGTAGCAGTCTAAGTTATCAAATATTTAGAAACAACCAGTGATCATTAATAATCAGAAATCAGGAATATTTTTTGGCCATAATATAACAATATTCAACCATCCAAAGTAGGCAAAAATTAACATGCAAAACTTCAATGGTTGCAAAGCAGCTAAAGTATTCAAAACTGTGGGACACAACAGGAAATATAACTATTTATACACTAGGGTGCAATTTGTTTTGCTCTAAGTTTTATTATAAAAAATATGCATTTTACTTCATATTAATTTATTAATGTTTCTTTCAAAAATATTATTTCTCTTAAACTTACCACAGATTAAATAACGTTATTACGTAACCCTTACTTTCAACACATGATTGACATGTTTTGTCCAGTTTATTATTTGAAAATCTTTTTTTATTGATGATTGTAAATGAAATTATTTTATCTTAGCGTTGTAAGGAGTAGCTTTACCGTTGTTTATTTGCAGGGAATAGTAAAAAAATAAAAATCATATATTATTAAATACTTATTATTTTAAAAACTATGATTATGAAATTTTTTTTGACACAACTATCGATACCGATACAAGACTTAAAAAATAAGATTATTTTAACCCTATGATATCAGTATAAATTTTCCTTTCCTGAAGTGTTCCATATATTTTAATACTTTGTTGGCAGTTTCAAAATATGTGAACATGTTGACTGCACCCTTATATCTGACGCTGACCTCTAGAGTACATAAGGATTGTATATATAATTGTCTTCATGGCAAGAGTGAATAGACTTTTTGTAAAGGCTATGTCGCTGTGTTTACCAACCTTGTCTACATCAACTCCTACCATCAGGTGGAATTGTAGTCTTAAGCATTGTCTATAGTTTAATTCCATATTTTAATGTCATGGTTCATCTTACAGTATGTACACTATTTACAATTATCTCTAGAACTATATTATATGCAACAATTAGTTCCAATCGTGGGAAAGAGTACCTAATAAAAGGAAATTATTATTAATTTCACCTTGACCAACACAACCCATTTCGATCAAGACTAAAGAATAATGTAAACAAAATTCAATAATCCATTTATGATTTGTAGAGATATGCATATCTTTTGTAATTCCGGTCCACCACTGTGCGATTTAGAAGATGTTTTCTTCCTCGCACAACAATTTATAGAGGAGGCCAATGTTCAAGTGCGAACTTTTGATAAGTTGTAATTAATAAATGAAATGTTCAAGAGTGATCTTTTGACGAGTTGCAGTTAATTAATTAATGAATACCTTATACACTATTTCATTTGTATATTAATAGGATGCATCTGCGATTCATGTTTGAGCGTATGAAATTATGGATACAGCTAGTTGTTTAAAAAATAAAAACTGAAAATTTTATATTAAACCTTTATTATTCATTCACTGAATTAAGTCCAGCTGTGCTGGTATACAAATCATTATCAATAATGTGATTATTGGATTGCATATTAGAGTATCTTAATCAAGTTCTTATCATATAATATACCATGGATTGGATTAATATGAGATCTCATTTAATATTACCATGAAATTACAGTAAAAAGGTAATTGCCTTAATTTATTAGTTCATATGTATTTTGAAGCCAACATTTATTTTAAAGCATAGTGCAACCTTATCTAACATTACATCTATAAAATATATCTATACAATAATAATGAAATTTTTAAATTTTATACGCTTCTTATGCACGTCAGCGCGTCCTTACATTTATAATTGTTTAATATGTTTGTTAATTACGCCACTTCAGTTATATTTTTTTATATCATCATCTTTAAAGAAATTTTGGACACGTTATTTATTCTTATATTCTCCCATATTGCTTTGGCCCCCAAGCGCCTATAAGTTATCAAGTCTTAAATGAAATGCATTATTATAAATATACCATAATCATTTTTATTTTTAACAATACATACAATATGTAAATAAAATGTTTGATCTGTGAGGGTTTCAGATATCGTGATAATGATTACACAAAAATTACCCCACAAAAATTAAATGAAATTAAATGGGGGAGACTTACATTTCAATACAGGCCGGCTGTCGGGTAACAATACCGCTAGTAGAAATGAAGCGTATATACTAGAACAGATCCAGGCACTAAGTATTAAACGAGACTAGGTTGCACCTGTTCCAACTTATAAAATACTTGATCCACCTAGTCCCACTGTGCCTACGCGTTGCACGGCAACGGCGCGGCGACCCGCTCGAATCGAACAAGTATCCGCGCGACGAAGCGAGATAGCATTGTTTTAGCAGACCACATATTAACGCGGAAAAATCTAGGAGCACCAAAATCTATCATGAGCATCATAAAAGGCTACGTGATTCCGTTCTCGAAAAAACGAAAGTAGATACATATGTTTGTACAATTGTAAATTGTATGTACATATGTACAATTTTTAGGTGTATAATTTTTCACGGCTGCTACCGCTCTATCGTTCGTTGTATATTTTTTGGTGAATCGGTAACACATAGCTAAGCGTTTATATGTGCCGCTTGCGAGCCGTGGGTTACAATCGCACATGGATCAACTATGTTACCTATTCCGTTACAACCCACCAAAAGTCCACTGTTTGAACAAAGGCCACCTCCTCGTATATCATATTTGTCGTAGTTGCCACGAGAATTGTTTTGCCATTCCTCTTCATTATTATTCTTAGAATTTGAAGTGACAAACGAACTGACTGACAGTCCACGTGGTGGTAAGTGACTACTGCAGCGAATGGACACATAAATCAATTTGCATTATAAAGATAGAATACTTGACAGCCTGCAATTATACTTGTTTTCTTTTCCTGTCAGACCCAGTAATTACGACGATAAGTAAGAGGGCGCCTAGTATCTACCCAGACGAACCACTAGCCAGAAAGGGATTCCTACCACCTAATGTATGGAAAGGGAATCTAAGTGCCGATATGCAACAGCGACTTCTCATCAGTAGACTTTTTACGTGGTAGAGCCATGCTGCAACTGTATTAGTAGTATAGTTGTAGCACGAACGGATCGGCTCGACCGGTGTAGGACCACGCTCTCACAGAATACCAGCATAAAATAGTAGCTTAATGCTGCTGTGTTTCGTATGGTGAGTGTAGAGAACTGGAGACCCTTTTTACTGGAAATGAGGCATTCCATCTTAGTCCTCACGGGTGACAACGCATCTGCATTTTAATTTGTGATAGAGGATAGATGTAGATGTCTATGGACCGCAGCAACCACTTACTATCAGGTAGACTGTGTGCTCGTTTGTCAGCTCTATCCTATAAAAAAATAGAATGTTAACACGTGTATCCTTCAAAATGTGACATATTCAGCTTTAGATGATTATCAAAGTATTATCTAAAAAAAGTATTATTAAAGTATTTTATTACGAAAGTGAGAAGTTCGGCTACATTTTTGATTGGGCTTAAGTGTTTTGCATTTTGTTGCCGTATTTACTAGTCTGCTTTGCCGCTCACTCGTGTTTGCCTAAATCATTAATGTGTGTTGAATTTGAACTATATTTCAATATATATAAAAGTAACACGACGCACACTCATGTTGTGTAAGAATATATTCTGTCCTTTTTAACTACACTATTCCGCAGTCTTTCTTTCTTTGTCTGTCAATACTCGAGAGTAGTCGGGACTAGTCCCAGGGACTTCAACCAAATACTGGGCAGATTTTATACACTAGGTACTTGTAAATACTCGATGTGAATGGAGACCATACGATGCAGTCAAGTGTCTAGTACGGACTCATGCGAATATGATCTCGGCACTCGACTTATTTATCAATAGGTTTTCGTAACAAACTATTGTTATGTGGTTAAAGAACTTTATTTCTATTTAGATATTAGACGTGTAACATTTGTAAAATTCAATGTAGTTTTAAAAATTATTCAGACTAATTTTTATGCGGGTATATAAAAAACAATGATTGTATCGGCTGTACGTAAAGATTAAGCATACTTTAAAGTATAAGCTATTCCAACAATACCAAACTATGCGTACTTCGTGGACTAGGTGGAACAGGTATTTAGATCGAGATACGGAATTGGACTAAGTACACCTAGTACAAAATTTACCTAGTACGACTCATCTCTAACCGCTACACTATATCTAAGCCGCTATACGTTAAAAGATCAAGATATCGTCGCCGACGACGATTTTGCCAGATTTCAAAAATTTGCTTAACTTTAAGCAAACTGTGGAAAACAGGTATTTTCCACTATTAGCTTATAACATATAATTTTTTAGTAATGTTTTCCTTTTTTGGTAACCTTTTCGCGGACAGGGTTTTTTACTTATTATAAGTTTTGATATTAAAATCATCATCAGAGATTGTGTTTTATGATACATACTTTACGAAAAAAAATATTAGGCCCGTTCCTACTGCTATTTTATTTATTAAAACAGCTACTTTAAATTCTACAAACATTTATTTGCCACCAGAAAAAAATATATACTTTATCCAAAAATCACATTATCAATACCACACTGTTGGTAACAACAAATGTTACTTACTTGCGTATCTAAGTAATTTTAAATTCGTAAAATGTGCTTGTTATACGAGTCTATTTATATATACATATATAGCAATATTGTGAGCAAAATGCAGGTTGCAATTCCGAGATATGGTCTATAACGCAAGCCAAACACATTGAAGGCCTTGTTTCTCTTTTGTTTTTGGGATCATCATCTTATGAATTGCAAGATAAATAATTTAAAATGATAATAAAACTTAAATTATATATACCTACTTTTTAGTAATAAAATGAGCAATATGAAAAAAGATTGCCACCCAAAGATCGAAGTTACAATAGTATAGGAGAATTTCCCAAATCAATTTACAATATTTTTATGACAATGTGTTAAATATCTTTTATTTTTATTACAGTAAATTTGCAACAAGTTGTACCAATAGTACTTGCAGGAAGAAAAAAAATTAGGTATGACCTTCAATACCTTCTGGTTTTGTACATGTCAAAGACCTTTACAGGTATTGAGTACCTGCAAACTGTAACCATCTTAAATTCAAACATCTATTTGTTCTTATTGCCAAAGGTGTTACTAGCATACATATAAAGCAGCGCATAAAAAAGCGTGCAATTTACAATTTCAATATTTTAGAATATTTGCGATGCATAGCATAAATGATTACTATTTTATATAAAAAAAATACCATATTCCCAATAGTAAAATATCCGAAATTGTTTCAGCTATTTTTACCTAATAAGTTACATATTACCGTTTATTTTTGTAGTGCAGACACACTGTATGAAAGGCCTAACTTGCTATAATCTCGAAACAAGCAACTACAAAACTACATAAATCGCATTAGTGCAACATTTTAATAATGATCTATGTAAATTGTATTAAATCATTATATTATATTGATATAATTTTGACCATTTCTGTTTTGTCTATAACATTATGACTTACATTTTTTTTTAATACTAGAAAATATCAAATTGGCAATGCTTATCTTTTATAGTATTAATAAATTAATAATATATTTTTAATTAACAAATGCAATGTCTTTAAAATAAATATTTCGATATAAATAATAATATTTTATTGATTTGAAACGAATTAATCAATTTCTGGAATTATATTTACATATAAGGTATATATATCTATACTCATCATGATTGGGAGATCACTTTATTTTTAAACACTACATTTCCGGTAATTTAAAAGGGTTAATATGTACTTAATGGTTAATTGGTACACTGTAATTAATGTTTTGTGTCGAAACATAAGCAGGCATTTTAAATTCTAAGTTGTGATATTACCCTCAAATGCCGTGGTCGTTTAGTTGCGACGTAAGATATTCATATCATATAATCTCATCTCTTGGATGTCGTAAGAGTCGTCAAAGGGAGATGAAACAGGAGACGGACAGCAACATTTAACTGGTAACTTAAAATGATTCACTACTGCACAGGAGATATACTCGCGTATCCGGGTGCATCTTACCTTTCCAAATTCACTGGCACAAGAGCCTAAACTAAGTCACGAACTTTAAAAAAAACAGTGCAACTTGAATGACTATGAAAGTTATAAAAAACCTCTACTCTAATAGCATTTAACATATCTCCTATGTTTATCTTTTCCGTAAGCATGTTACATTAAAAAGCAACTAAAATAATTATTTAGTTAGTCCTTGAAAAAGGGCCACTTCATCAGGAAGTCTGGTTAAGCGTGGAATACAGTATTATTTTGTATCTAGATTTCCTTGAAATCTGTAAATAATTAATTACACGCGAAAGCTTATCATGTACTGAAATATGTACTGATTTTTCCAGAAGGTTTATGATAAAGTACGTGACACAATTAGTCGCCTACAGTGTGCGATGGCCATAATAACTGTACCAATAACATATAGATAAAGATTTAAGATGACCTAAGCTGTAAACAGAATTAAGATTATCCAAAACCTATTAATATTACAACAGACAAGTATCGTATAGTTTTATAGCATAATAATATCATGTACGTGGTATCTGCTAAAGCTAAACTCTGTTTCCAAGACAAGTAGAAAACAAAGAGTTAAGAGATACAATTTACAAACAACGCCGTCTACCGATATGCCATTTCGATTTCCTATGTATAAAACAAATTATGCTTCTTAAATTTGTGAACTATGCACAAATGACTATTCATTCATTTAGGACTGATTTTTCAATCGGCACATCAATGTTACTTATTTCTCAACGAAAATAAATAACCTGACTTATCACATAAACTATTTTATTCATAAACTGTAATTCTTGTTATGTTGTATTTAATCATATGCAGTACTTTTATCTGGTGGTTGAAGAATCAGCGCTTAGGCCCGATTTACACTTCGACAAGTACAGTAGCGAGTTTATTTACAGGGCATTTTACAGTTAACGGTTAAGTGGGCAGGAGCGTTCAAATGTCTTCGTGGCGAGTTTAGTTTAAAAAAGTACAGTTTTATATTTTGAGGGTCGAAGCCGACTACACTGTGTCCTGTCAACTTATGCGCAGAACTAAACTCGCTCGTTCACAGTTTAGTTGCGGGTGACGGGAGCCGCGCGGGAAGGCAGCTCTTCGAACTTGACTTGCCGAAAAATAGACCTGCCGGCTATTCCGTTTAACTCAATTGTTAATTTGCTACCTTAACTCACTGGTTGCAGTACAAACGAAATTTTTTACTTAACTCGCTAGATTCGCAAGTAAACTCACTACTGTACTTATCGAAGTGTAAATCGGAATTAGTGAAGTAAATAAACTTACTCGGCGCGTTATGACTCACTCTCAGTAGAGTATTTAAGACAGATTTTTTATTATCACAGCTTTACAAATAGGTATCGGCAATATATAAAAAGAGATCCATTACCGAATTATCATTGTAACAATCCAATTTGGTTAAGTAAAAATGAGCCACATGTGCTACCTGTGCAAGCCACACAAATAGATTCATCTTACTACAGCTATATTAAAGATTATACTTCACTTTTTAGTAATTGAGATTCTAGACAAGAGTTTATACAATGAGATTTTTTTTGAATTAAAAATAGAACTTAACAAAGTTACACCAATTTTATAGTTAATTTAAAAACATGATATATTTTGTGCTTTCCTATAATATATTACATAATACTTACGTAGCCGTCTAAATTATTAGTTGAATAGTTATTTCATCATCTAAGATAGTGAGTTTTATTACATACATAAATTAAAATTGATTTGGGAGCGAAAGCACAAAAATGAAGCGCAAGCAAATATTAATTCTACATAGTATCGGAAATTAACCTCTTGATCCGCCTAGAAACTAGGAAATCTTGTTTTAGATGACTACCCACCAGACAATATTTCTGCTGTAACTTACATAGATGCAATTGGTCTGATAAAAAATGCAGTAAGGCTAACAGCTACACTTTGACACATCTGTCTCAGAATCTGAAGGCTTAAACACGTTGTCTCTTTCTTTAAGTTCGAATGCATCCGCCTGTGAGTAAAAAACAGATCTAATGATATTATTGTAAAACCTTAGAAAGTAGCATTTATTATATCTTATCGTGAAATAGGTATAAAGTGCAAAAATTTATCAAAGTGCACTGATGATTACTGGCCTTTTCTCGTAAGGGGAACATTTGCCATAGTTGCCACGCTTGGCAATATTTTATTTTCTAGTTATTAAGAAGACGTTGCTGCCCATTTTTTGTTATCCTCTGTCGCCTCTTACGACATCAACGGAAAAATATGGGGTTGTCGATATTCTTTTTCACGTGGTAGAGCCATGCTTCAGCTATATTAATTTTATAATTGTAGCACGAATGGGTCGGCCCAACCGTGAAAGGACCACGCTCTCACAGCATACCAGCGTAATATAGCAGCTTAATGCTGCTGTGTTTTGCATGTTGAGTGTAGGGAACCGGAGATCCTTTTTACTGGAAAAGAGGCATTCCATCTTAGTCCTCACGGCTGATAACCCATCTACATTTTGATTCACAAACGTGGATAGATGATGTCTATGGGCCACAGCAACCACTTATCATCAGGTAGACTATGTGCTCACGTATCCTATAGAAAAAAAATCTTACACCGCCACTATAAGGCACAGTTTCATCGTTACAATATTATATGAAATTCATTACGTTTTGCTAGTTTCATTACAGAAAACGAAATAATAAATTAACATTGAAAACTACGAACAATAGCTTCTAAAAACTGGGGATCGTATTCGATGATATATCAAAACTCAATAGGTAGCGCCTACGATGCTTTACCGCACCGCAATAATTACGTCGCACTGGCGCAGAGTAATAAAATATACTGTAATAGTTACTACGTAACATCACATATTAATATAATATTTACTGTAATGACACAGGGCGGCCGATGTAGCTTCACTGATACGGGCGCTAATACATTCTGTAGACTGTAGACAATAAAACTCTAGGTCTGGCACCAGCAGGGTGAATCTAAGGTTTCTACGTTGGTTAACACTATAGAAAACTATAAAAATTAATGGGAATGACATCTATACGTTGTCATGTGACAGCCTTGGTTTCATTAATTTTTAGGGTTCCGTATCTCAATAGGAAAAAACAGAACCCTTATAGATACACTTGATCGTCTGTCCTTCCATCCGTCCGTATCTTCTCAGTATAAGTAAATGAATATTATCTTTGTTAATTTACGAGATTTGTCATCCATTAACAACGTGCAAGTTACATTAATGCAAGTTGTAGTCATGTTGTATGTCTACTACATATACGGGGGTGCGGTTTTAAGTTCGCGGAATGGGTAATGCATGCCGCCTCAAAAGCAACAGCGCGTGGAGTGTTCTCGTCTCATTTTTAGACCTCTATATGGAAGACAAAGATAGAGTGTTGGCTCGAATTTTTACTGGTAACGAAACTTGGGTTCACCATTATGAACCTGAGTCCAAACAGGAATCTATGCAATGGCGCAAAAAGGCACACCACCACCCAAGAAATTTAAGGTGGCACAATCGGGTGGGAAAATCATGGCGACAGTCTTTTGGGACTCAGAAGGAATCCTATTGATTAATTATAAAGATAAAGGTGTCTTCATAACCGGAAATTACTACGCTTCAATCCTAGAACAATTGAAGGAAGCCATAAAGGAGAAAAGAAGGGGAGGAAGGAAAATTGACCAAAGGAATCCTTCATATGCACGAAAACGCATCTGTTACAAGTGACATGTTGCGAGTTTGTACAGAACCCTCGGTGCGCGAGTCAGACTTGCACTTGTCAGGATATTTTATAGTTTTCTATAGCGTTAGCGATCGTAAAATGTCATCTTGACTAAGCCCGCAGAAATGCTAAGTTTGTTGCACTACAGCTCCGTTATCACATGCATCACTATGTGATGTGACGCTACTCGACCTATTACCACAAAACACGGATTTTTATATTACTTATGTAAAGCTTTGCTCTTGTGTACGTTGTAAATCATCATCAAAAGTGATAATAGCGTTATAAGTAGATTTATTGTGTACCACTGTTTAACTTAAATATTATTTAAGTAGAATGGTACATAAATTACTATTATAATCTATACATATGTATAAAATTGTTTCCATTAAGCTCATGAGATTATTTGCATGCTAATAAGACGTAAATGACCATTTTAAAAATTTTGTCTATCTGTCTTGTCCGGGCTAATCTTCGAAATGTATGAACCGATCGTGATGAAACCTTTTCATTTTCATTACAGCCCTTCACAAGTCCACTGCTGAACATAGGCCTCCCCCAAAGAATGCCACAAAGCACGTTCCTGAGCCACCTGCATCCATCGACTTCCTGCATATCTTACCAGGTCGTCACTCCATCTAGTGGGGGGACGCCCTACACTTCGCCTGCCGATACGAGGCTGCCACTCGAGAACCTTTCTTCCCCATCGGTTGTCGGTTCTTCGAGCTATATGGCCGGCCCATTGCCACTTCAGCTTACTAATCCGTTGGGCTATGTCGGTCACTCTAGTTCTACTGCGGATATCCTCATTTCTGAGTTTATCACGCAGAGAAACTCCGAGCATAGCCCTCTCCATAGCTCGCTGAGCGACTTTGAGCTTCCTCATCCGGCCAGCAGTGAAGGACCACGTCTCAGTTCCGTATGTCATCACTGGCAACACGCACTGGGTGTACAGTCTCGTTTTCAAGTTTTGAGGTATACCTGACGAGAAGATGTGCCATAATTTCCCGAACGCTGCCGAACCGAGTTGAATCCGTCGATTGACCTCTCGGTCGAAGTTGGACTTACCTAGTCGGACTATTTGTCCCAGGTAAACATACTCGTCAACAACTTCGAGCCCAGTGTTCCCAACAACTTCCGGCATAGGTGTGACATGGACATTAAACATGATCTTTGTTTTGTCCATGTTCATCTTAAGACCTATCCGTTGGGAAACACTATTGAGGTCATTGAGCATAGTGCTTAGGTCCTCCAGCGATTCTGCCATAAGGACTATATCGTCGGCAAATCGAAGGTGAGTGATGTACTCGCCATTGATGTTGATACCGTATCCTTTCCAGTCCAGAAGCTTGAAAACATCTTCCAATGCAGCGGTAAAGAGTTTCGGGGATATGACGTCACCCTGTCTTACACCTCTCTGCAATTGGATAGGTTTCGTACTCTGGTTCTGTACTCGGATAGCCATCGTAGCCCTACTGTACAAGCACTTCAACACTTCGATATATCGACAGTCAACTTGGCATCGCTGAAGGGACTGCAGCACCGCCCAAATTTCGACGGAATCAAAGGCTTTCTCATAGTCCACATACGCCAGACATAGTGGCAAATTGTACTCCTCGGACTTCTGTACAATTTGCCGAAGGGTATGTATGTGGTCTATGGTGCTAAAGCCTTTTCGGAAACCGGCTTGTTCGGGAGGCTGGAAGTCGTCAAGTCTGCGCGCGAGACGATTCGTAATGACTCTCGAAAACAGCACGTAGACGCGGCTCAGAAGGGAAATCGGTCTGTAGTTCTTCAAGAGAGCGTTGTCGCCTTTCTTGAAGAACAAGACCACCGCACTTCTGCTCCACGCCTCCGGTGTAATGCCACCATGGAGGACGGAATTAAAGAGCTTCTGAAGGACTTCAAGTACCGGTTTTCCACCCGCTTTCAGAAGCTCCGCTGTAATTCCATCCTCGCCTGGGGCCTTGCCGTTTTTAAGGTGCTGGAGAGCCATTCTAATCTCGCTCAGACTGACGTCCGGGATATCATCGGAATAATGTCGGATAAGACTCGCTCTTGGATCGTTACTCACACTTGCGTGCGGCTCCAACGATGACGTGTACAGCTGCCCATAGAACCTCTCAATCTCACTCAAAATCTCAGGTGCCCCGGAAACGATGCTGCCACATTCTGTCTTCAGCTTTGACAGTTGGCGCTTTCTGGCAGACAGATCTCTGGCAAAGACTTTGGAGCCTCGGTTCCGCTCGATCGCTTCTTCAATACGAGTTGTATTGAATTTGCGTAAGTCCCGCCGCATGCATTTGGAGATCTGTCTGTTCAGTTGCCTGTATGCTGTTAAATCTGTTGAAGAATGTAGCTTCATCTCCCGTCTAACAGCCATGAGATTAAGAGTGTGATCGGAGAGTTTTTGTGTTCTTCTGCGGCGGGTCTTGCAGAACTTAGCTCCGACCGCATGGACAGTTGAAACCTTACGAACAGATAAAGAACAATTGCCGAAGGGATCTAGATTATATTTTATCCGAAAAACATGAAGATTTTTTTTTGCAAAATAGAAAAATTGAAATGGCCTTTGATTACCTTTAATCTAAATAAAGCCACCTATCCAGGCTAAGCCGAGACGGGTCACTAGACACCAATATAATTGGTTGCTAATATTTCATACATTTATCGGTAGGCAGTTGAAAACGTGTGGATTGTGGATTGAAAGCTTACCTTAGTCTCTCTATATTCCCTTATTTTTCTTGCTAAGGTTAAAAACGCTTCCTCTATGTTAATATTACTCTTACAGGAAACCTCAAAGAATGGCATATCAAAATCATCCGCTATCTGTAACGTAGAAAGAATAACAAAAAATAATATATTTTTTACACCTTCCAAAAATTGTGATAAATAATTTTTCTACGCCTGATCCAACCTATCCCTGATCCAACTATGTGAAAAATCAGTAAACCAATCAGAAGATAAAAAATCAGTAAAAATAATTCATTTGTTTTTTAATGATCTTTTTTTTCTCCTAAATTTTATGTGGATGAAAATAATTATGACGATGAAACTAATGCTGGTGATAATTGCGATGGTTGAAAACTTAATTAAAAGAAGCTCAAAGTTATTATTTACTGATTTTTCTAAAACAATCTAATAAGCGGTTGTAATAAAATTCACAATACGCGAGCAAGCGAGCAACCCAGGTTCAATCCTTGCCGACGTCAATAGTTTACTACATGCTCAACGATGAAGAGGTTGACTTCTCAGACATGAATAAAAATATTACAAATACACGTGAAGCCCGTTAACACGCATTGGCAGCATGGCGAACTCAACATTGTTTAAGGTTTAAACCTTCATAAATGAGAGGAGGCCTGAGCTCAGCGACTTAAGTTTTTAACTTTATGTATGTTAATAATTAAATTAATATTTAAATAAAATTATTAATTTACGTGTATTTGAATCCAAAATTTCAAAAGAAACGTTATAAAAATATAGAATGATTTTAATGAAAGATTAAATGAATATGGTAATCTATGTTAATAAATAAATGAACAGTTAAACACCAATACTTCTTTATCTCTTAGATTGATGATCTTTTCACGGCAAATAGCTTTTATAAGCATTTGCTAATTAATTTTTTTATTACGAGATTTAATACGTGAAACCTTAGAAGCAAAGCACATATCATAAATAATAAACTATTTTCATGTAATATTTTATGTTTCTGCCTTTATATCTCCTGTCATACATTTCTGGCCCTCTGGGCTAGTGTATCGCCGATACAAGGACTCGCCAAGTTCCCTTAAAGAAGAACGTTCCCTGAATAGTGTTATCTTTATGTTTTAGGTTAAGGTAATATATTGCTATGGGCCAATGTTATTAATTTTTGAGTCCTGGATGTCCGAAATAAAGTTATTGTATTGTATTGTATTGTGTATTGTATACATACCTTTTGACCTCTCTCTTTAGGAACAGCTCGGTGGTTCTCATGAACTTCGCATTTGTTACCAACTAATACTTTGATAACGTCTGGGGACGCATACTGAAATGAAAAAATCATAATTTAGAAAGAGTATCACATGACTTTTTCTCTCCTTCCTTCCTCCCACCTGAAGTTTAACAGTCCAGTGGACATAATGGAATCCATTCAACTATGCTGAAAACGTGAGCACCGGAGTTAGCACCAGCTCTCACGCGTCTTTTCTGATACTCCTACTCCTAAATAATGGAGTCTATTATAAACTCATTAGGCTCATGAGGCACCTCGAGGATCATCAACAGTTTAGTGACCGCTAGAACGGTTTACGTGGGGGTCACTCAAATGGTGATCTTCTAGTATAGCGGACTCATCGATGGGCGGAGGCAGTGGAGTCCAAGTGGGGCCTAGGTGGTTCTAGTTAAGTATCAAAGTCGTAGGTAGTAAACAGTGGATGCTCCGAATACAAGCCTTTTTAATGCTGGTGTTCCACAAGGCTTCTGCACATCAATGATATACTGCAAACCTTTCATTGCTCTGCAGATAATAGCGTTAGTGATGCTTTTTACATCGACTGAAGTAATATTTCTCTGAAATACGTCAATGAATGTCGGAACAAACTTGTGTCCGAAGTGGAGTCTTTGTTAAACAAAATCTCGGATTGGGGCGATTACATCGAGTCCAGTTTAACCTTTAGAAGACACAGGGTTTGCCCATTTACAGTAAAAAAGAAGTCCTTTGTTTTATCTCCTCAATTTCAGGACACTCCCTTTGTTGTCCGAGCCAGCATCTTAAACATATCGAGTAATGATTAGTTCCGTGGTCACTTAGACAGGAGGCCAATTTGGCCTCTAAGAAGTTTGGCGGAACAGTATTTCATGTCAACACACCGCTTGCAACTTTATAAGGCGCAAGTTTGGCCTCACATAGATAACTGGTTTCATTTCTAGGCTGTGGCACTTCAGTGCCAGTTCCATCCACTTGATCGCATTCAGCGAACAAAGAATTGTCGACAGCCAATTCACTGACATGGCATTGGTATGAGATGTTGAATCAGCTATCATCAGCGACATTTTGGTACCGATACTACTTAGGAAGTTCTAGAAAATTCTTGATCAGTTTAGGCCATAGTGGATTTTCAACACTATCGAAAGCTGTTAACTGCGCATCACATATAAGCACACAAACATGACAGAACCACTTCACCAGATTTAATTTATATACTAGCTATGCCCGCGGCGTAGCTCGCGTATACAGGTTTTACATAAAGAATTTGTCGTTTAGGTAAGAAAATATTAAACGATTTATTTCATTACTGTATCAATAAGTGGTAACAAAATAAATAATTATCATCAAAGTTCTAAGTCGTTTATGATAGAGCTTCTGTGTAAACGACGTTAGAAGTAGGCTTAGCCGGGGTATACACAAAAAGGTTACGGGGGCTACTAACGCGGGAAAAAGCAACATAGAGTTGGCCATGTGCAAAACAGTCAGTACTGAGGTACACTCCTACAACGCGTAAAGTTTGACCTTGCGCTTTATTTACGGTCATCGCATAACACACACTCACTGTAACTGGGAACTGAACGCGCTTAAAACTGAAAGGAAAGTTACTTCTTAATAGAGGGTTTTTGGGCAGTGCTGCCAGATAAAAAAAACTCATTCAGCTCTAGGACAACACAAAAAGCGCTAGATTTCATGAAAACAGCGCTTTAAAAAAGCCCTAGATTTCGCGCTAAATTAACTACAAACAAAGTTTGTGTTTTTTTATATAATCATAATAAAGAAAACAACATTAAGTTTTTTTTCTGGCAATATTTTTTTGATGTATCAATACTTCGCAGGACATCGACTTATAATTATAGCAATTGCTGTCAACAGTAGTTAGTACTGTACGAACAATAAAAATGTCATTAATTGTTTTAAAGTGCAATGTATTTCGCAACTTAGTTTCAGATGTCAGCATCTGATTGCGGTTGCTACACAGTTTCGTTGTGTTATAACTTCTAAGTAACTTTTAACTTAGCTGTGCTCTAAGCAACTGACTGAAACTGAATAAAGCAAAACAAATGCGTTGCCAAAACCATGAACGAAAACTTTAATAAAGGGGATTTCCCCGCTTATAGTCGTCGGTAAAAAAATCAAGTTTATCATCCTAAAGGGGAAGCCAGGAGATCCATAGCACAGGGTATCCTAGTTTGGACTCGTCTCCCATTCTCTTTGTTTTGTGGAAAAAATATGTTTGAAAAAGATAAACTGCAATGTACTATTTGTGGGAAAAAATAATAAAGGTCATTATTATCATTATCGGTAATGTGGACTAACAGTGCTGCTATAAAAGAGTTAATTACCCGCTAGTCGCTAAAATATTGAAATGTGTGCTAAATACACCAAAAAGCGCTGGATTAAGCGCTAGGTGCTAAAATTTCGAAATGCGCGCTATACATTCCAAAAAAGTGTTAAATCTAGTTACCAAAGCGCTAGAATGGCAGTTCTGATTTTGCGTATATTATAAATACAATATCACGACATTTCGTTGCGAAATTTTTATTTTTGGTCGGGTTCCGTTGTATGGCTTCGATGGATACAAATTTCTTCAGTAAGTCTCAATACGATTCATCGGCGAAAAATCTCAACACAGCAATTCAGAAAAGTTTGTAATTTGTACAACTCCATCTACTCGTATTACGTCCTTTGTGTGAGAAAACATCCTATCTCTTTTTGTGTTTTAAGTATAAATATATTAATTATTATGGAACGTTTTTTTTTACACAGAAATCTTTTTATTACTATTTCTGAGATTTTATGGCGCCATTGAACAAATTCGAACCTACATTTCAAAATAATAATCATTACTTTCGATAGAATTAACCAATTTTAATAAAACAAAGATTAAATGTAACTCGAAGATACGCTTTATGATATTCTTAACGATTTCTTTGAAAATAAAAGATGTTTACTTTAGACGTGATGCGTTCATATAATAACAGACAAATAGACAGACAGACAATTCTAAAAATTATAAAATGTTCTTATTTAATTATTTTCAGTTCATCATAATGATTTTAGCCACCAAAATATATATACAATGTACAGAAAGAGACACAACATGTTATCATCATTTTTATTATATGTATATATTTAAAGAGAGATGGCGCTGCTAACATCATGAATTCTAAAAATAAAAGAGATTAATTGACGCGATTGATACATTATATAAAACGTAAGAGAACTTATAAATCAGTGCCTGCACAGTAAGCAAAAAATAAAGTTTGACTCTCGTCAAAACCAATGCAATTGTTAATAGCTCCTTTAAAATTCGATTTACCACATAGAGTACTCGGCGGTAAAGAATAAATTGAGTTTGTCAACACGCAGTAGGGCAGCGAGTAATATAATAAAGATTAGCAGTAAATATGAAAACTCATCTACAGGAAAAAACCACATTTGCAATTGCATTACATTTTCACAACACCACCATCTATCGAAGAAATGGGTTAACTATTGTGCTTCAGATTTAGTTAATAACGTTAATATATTTTTATATAATATATTTAATACGTTCTTTATTACTTTTGTTTACTGCGTTTTAGATATACATAATTATATCATTATTTTACATAATTTAACTATGATTTATGATATGATATTAGTTTAAAATGCACTTGATGACTCAAACAAAGCCACCGTTGAGCAAATTCGTACCTATACTTCCCTACCCATACTTCAGAATATTTATCATAACTTTTGATGGGATGAACTGATTTTAATGAAATAAAGACTAAATGTAACCCGAAGATACACTTTATAATTTCCTTAACAATTCTTATGATATAAATTAGTACTTTATACGTGATACGTTAACAAACAAACAGACAGACAGACAGACAGACAGACAGAAAATTCTAAAAATGGTAGAAATGTATTTAATTACTTATTTTTAGTACCCCTCAATCACTTTTATTACAAAAATATAAAATGTACAGACATCTGCTATTTACAGTTTTATTATATGTATAGATTTACTAGCTGTTCCCCGCGACTTCGCCCGCGTGGAGTTATTTTTCGCGGAACCCTAAAATAAAAGTAGCCCAAGTAACTCCTTATACATAACATCATCTACCTGCCAGTGTGTATAAATATTGACATAAATATTTATATGATACTAACGTCACTCAATTGTTTTGCCTTCCCGGAACCCCACCACTAACACTTAAACTTTATGGTATGGTATTAAAGTTCAAATTAACTTTTAAGAGTTACGAATCTTTTGTATGGGAATATAGAAAAGTTTTTTTTTAAACTTTTTTAGACAATTTTTTAAATTTTTTTCTCCGTAAGAACCATCTTCGTACTTCAAGGAATATTATAAAAAAAGAATTAGCGAAATCGGTTCAGCTACTCTCGAGATTTGCGCTTAGCAACACATTCAGCGATTCATTTCTGTTATGAATATATAATGATTTCAACATTTTCAACATACATATCAAATAAAAATAAGGCTAACAAGGTGAAGCTAGTAAACTAAGAGTAAGAGGTATGCGCGTGCGCGTATGCAATGTTAATGCGATAAGATCGGAGCTGTACTGAGATCAGTGTCAGACACACAAACACAATAACAACACATTTGTAAGCCAACAATTTGTATTACTGCACAAATACAGACTTCTGCTTGAATTTAAACTTGAGGCCTACGATGAGTCAGGCGCTATGACCACAAGTTCACGTAGTCACCTAAATAAAAATATCGGTTAAATCTATAGATACATATAAATAAAATTGAAGTGTCTGTCTACAATAACGGAATAACTGTATTTTATTGAGCAAGGGAGTTATTTACATTAAGACATGAGTAACCATTTTTAAAATTTTTATCGGTCTGTCTGTCCGGGCTAATCTTCTAAATGACTGAACCTATTGTAATTAAACTTAACGAACGATAAATTGCTTAATTTGCACCAGTAAATAATAAATTGGTTAATCAAAATCAAGGAAGTCGTAGTAGGTAGATGTACGAGGGTGCGTTTTTAAGTTCGAGGAATGGGTAGGTAGGTAATAACCGGGGA